GGGTCAACATTCAGATGCCAGTATTTTTAAACAACAAAGGGAATGTGAGACATTACGCAGTATCTATAAAAACGCGCAAGCAAAGAAATAAAAATAAATATTTTTTAATGGATGACTTGATTTATCATACCGAAAGAATTTCCGGAGTACAAGTTAGTCAATTGGTAGTTACCTAAAGTTAGAAGGGAACAAATTTTAAAATTGGCTCACGAATCTATTTTTGCAAATCATTTAGGGAATGAGAAAAAGCAAAGGAAAGGATTCGTTATTCATTTTATTGGCCAAAACATGTCAACGAGATACTATGAAGAATATTGTAAAAACTTGTAAGGAATGTCAATTACAAAGTAGAGAAAGGAACTCAACGATCGTATACCCATAATTCCAGTTCAGAGGCCTGAATTTCCATTTGACACAGTGAATGTAGATATAATCGGTCCAATTGAACCTCCATCAGCACGTAAACACAAATATGTACTATGTTTAGTCGAACCAACATTCTAGATAGGCCAGAAGCTGTCCCTTTGAGAAAAATTACAGCAAAATCAACATGCAAAGCATTATTAGAAATCTTTATGAGAACGGTCATACGTCAGGGTAATAGCTAGCGATCAAGGTACCAATTTTGTTGCAGAATTAACACAAAGAATTCCATGCCAGATTAGGAACAAGTCCTAGATTTGCAACACCAGGACATCCACAAAGTTCGGGATTAGTTGAAACGGTATAACCAAGTTCTAAAACGTATGCTTCATCCGTATCATTAGAAACGACTCTAAAAATTGGGGCAAACATATACCCATACCTGTTATTCGCTTACCGCGAAATTCCGAAATTGTACTACGGGAGTATGCCCCATTTAAATTAATGTATGGAAGAGAGGCCAGAGATCCGTTGTCAGTATTAAAATCGTCATGGTCAGGAGAAATTCCATTACCAATAAAATTGGGTAAAAGTGCTGTTGATTATCTACAGGAGCTAAAGATGACTTTAGAAATAGCAGCAAAGCAAGCATCTATAACTGCAGAATTGAAACAAGGTGCATATGCAAGATATGCTAATCGAAGGGCTATATATAAAGAATTCAACCCTGGAGATCAAGTGTACCTGCTGATTCCAGATTCCACTAATAAATTATATGCCAGATGGATAGGACCTGGCAGAAATAGTATCTCGTTGTAATCCAGATTCTTACAGAGTCAGACTGACAGATGGTACAATAAGAAGAGTACATGTAAATAAAATTCGAAAATTTAATCCAAAAGTACAGGCAGTAGGTTGATATGGTGTAAATTTGAGAACGAAGAAGAACTAGGAGAAGTCCATCCCACACCAGTGTGAGTGAGTGACAAGTCCGATCATTTTCATCTTAGCGAAGTAAGTAAATTTAAGCCATTATGATGATAAAAGGAATGAAATGATGAACTTGTTAAGAAAATATGAAAACTTATTTATAAATAAGGTACAAATTGCCAAATTGTACACATTTATAAATAAGGTACAAAAAAGTAGGAGAACATAAAATAAGATTAAGTGACAATGAAAGGAAGAAGCCATATGTTTATCGAATTCCAGAAGCATTGAAGCCTCAAGTAGATAAACAAATCGAAGAAATGTTATCAATGGGATTGATTGAAGAAACCAACGCTGAAATTTCGTACCCTATTGTATGCGTTATGAAGAAAGACGGTAATATTCGCCTTTGCGTTGACTTTTTAGATCCCTTAATGCAGTAACGAAACCAGATGACTTCCCTATGGAAAATCCTAAAGAGCTCTTATTCTACATTGGAAAAGCAAAAGTGATATCCAGCATTGATTTACTCAAAGGCTATTGGGCCATACCATTGGAAAGAGAGAAGTCAAGAATTAGCATGTTTCAAGACACATCGAGCTCAAGTATCAATTTAAAGTCATGCCTTTCGGGCTACGCAACGGCCGCTGCAACATTTCAGAGAGTGATGAACCAGGCCCTTGCTAAATACAAAGATTTTGCTCGAGCCTACGTCGATGACATAGCTGTTTATTCAAATAATTGGAATGAACATTTAGGACATCTTGACATCATTTTTTCAAAACTGTTAGAACTACAGTTTTCCGTAAATCTCAAGAAGTGTTCCTTCGCTTAAAACTCATATTAAGTATCTAGGACATATCATCGGTTCTGGCAGTCATCGTACAGATCCAGAGAAAGTGGAGGCTATCCAGAAATTAGCTAGACCTCAAACAAAAAAACAATTGAAAGCATTCTAGGCCTATGTAATTATTACAGAGACTACATTCCACATTATGCCGAAACAGCTTATCCATTAACCGAGCTCACCAAAAGAAGAAGTTCTGAAGAGCTGTGCTGGACAGAAAAACACGACAAAGCATTCATTGAATTAAAGAAATGCCTAATGGAAGCACCTAGTCTTTATACCCCTCTTCCAGGGTTACCTTTTATAATTCAATGTGATGCATCTTCAACAGGTGTTAGAGCCTGCTTATCTCAAAGGAAAAACTGAAAGTTGTACCCGATTAGTTACGCCAGCCAGAAACTTACCAAAACACAACAAGCATGGCCAACTATCGAGAGGGAAGCTTATGCTGTTATTTGGAGCTTGAAAAAGTTTGAAACTTAGATTTTTGGATCACCTGTGGAACTGATAACTGATCACAATCCGTTAACTTTCATCACAAAGAACGCACCACAATCTTCTAAGTTACAGAGATGGGCTTTAGCATTACAAAAGTATGATACTACAATTTCACATTGCCCAGGTGCTAAGTTAAGCAATGCTGATGCGTTGTCCAGACTAGAGACTATTGAGTGACTTGTGTGAAAGAAAGAACTTTTCACAGACATTTACGAACTCTTAATATTATTATTTTTTTATGTGTGTGTTTCTTTTTCAGCTACTCTCCTAGAGACTTTTAAGTATATCATAGACTCTTTAAGTATTCTATGCATTAGAATTGTTTGAATACTAATTTTAATCATTTATATATTACAGTTTAGAAGAGTCTTGTAGTAGGTGTAGAACTAACCTGTATAAGTATTGTGTTATATATCTTTCAACTTCAGTATCGATTGTAGACTTTAGTAGGTAAGTAATAAACTCTTCGTTTGACGTCACATAATTTGTCATATTTCAATAGGCTTTCACCCTATTTCAATCTTGGATGAGGGGTGTGATGTATGGATGACGCCAACCAACAAGATGTATAGAGGGCGCTAACTCTCAGTCTGGAGAGGCGCCAAAAGTTTAGTTTCCAAGAGGGAGACCGACAAAGAGGTCATATGGAAGGCTCGTGGGAGCCATTAATGAAACCGAAATTCACTTTTATTACTTTATATATTTCAGTTATTAGTATTGTAGTTTAGTATTAGTTTTGTATTTGTAAAATAAATGTTTAAAAATACAAGAAGGTGGAGTTATTTCTCTATGAGGCGATGGATGAAGAAGGGATGATATCACAATGACCGATCAAGTTGTAACCGCTCTTCACTTTCGACATCCAAACGAAGAAATTCTAATAAGTTTCCTAACATGTTCATCTTGCCTTTATTTTCTACACGGTTACGTTAACCCTAAAGTCTCTAATGCTCGCAGCTGAGTCTCCAATTTATCATAAAGAACCCGCAAAGTAAAATTTTCGCCACTTTTCATTTACGTTAAAACTAGATTTACATGTTCACGAAGATAAATTTGAATTAAGAATTCATCTTTAGCAAAACGAGATTTCAGCTGTTCAATAGCATTATAATAGTTTTCGCCAAATGGCGGAAAACTTGCAACTAAATCTCTGGCCGATGAACCTTTTTCAATTGCTTGTAAAAGATACTGAATTTTGTCATTTGCTTTTGCAATGCTATCATCCTCATGAATTTTTTAAAATTGTCTCCAGAATCCTAGCTAGTTTCTAATATTACCGTCAAAACATTTCAATTCTAACTTAGGATGACGGAAATTTCGCTTGGTTTCATTTACTACACTGGAAATATCGCCATTTCTTTCGGTGGTTGATAACATCAAATCAATTTTCGTTTCCCTACCAAACCATTGATTTCGATAGCTTTCCGTTAAATCCATATCCTTAGAAAATTCATCTTCATTAAATTTTACATTTCTAGCCACGTTTACTTTAATTTTTTCATCTAATTGAAATAAGTTGTCACCTTTGTCATTAAAAAATATTAAATACAGGCATTAAATCAATCTTACTGCTTCATTTTTTAGAACAGTTTCCACTTCTTTTAAAGAAGTTTCAAAATATAGCCTTAGTTGCGTTCTTTCCCGTTTTAAATTATCCATAGTCCTGTCGTAGGACGCAAGAATGTTAAAAGATTCGAAGATAACTATAGATTTAATATGAACAAACACTTTAATTGCAGATATCTCCAAAATTCAGAGCAGTATATTTATACAAACGATACAATTTATTTTCAAAACAAAAAACAAACCTAAGCTTTTAAAAACAGAGTTGAGTTGTGGCTCGTATTACTCAAATACATGTAAAATTACATTCTGAATTATTTTTCAGATTTTAATCATTAATTAATTTCTGTTTCCTTTTTAAGAAAAGCAATCGGCGAGTAAAAATAGACTTTTAACTAACTTGATTTGATTACCTGTGCAATATCCTAGCTGAAACTTTTTCTTTAGAAAAGCATCCTTCCTTGTGTGTTTTAAAAGTTTTAAATAACCAGTTAAGCAAAATCCAGTAATAAATTCAGAGAGGAAATATTTCCTAACTCGGTCAATGCAAAAGCATTGTCTGGCATGAAGCTATAAATTAAATACCCTTGCGTACACTCTAGATTTGCAATGGTTACCAAATGGTCCTTTACGTTTTCTTTTATTGTTAAGCATGACATCCATAGATGGCGCTAATATCGTCGTTCGTTGGAATTTGAGTGATCGGTAAGCAAATTGAAATCTGCGAATTTTACTTTTCTAATTTAATTCTTCTAATAGACGAAAAAAATAAATTTCTTTGAGTCTGAGCACAAATTATTAATTTGCTTAATTTATATGCATTTTTCGCGATTTAAATTTTTATGGGAAGAAGTTAACAGAGATGTTCATGTGTAGCATCTCCTGGAACGTTTAACTCGCGCCGCTGAGAGCCAACCTGTTTACAAACGATAATAGTTACATTTCAAAATTGCTTCGGTGATTTTGGCGGGATATAAATATATAATTAGTGCGCTACCTGTTAAGAATAAAATGATGTATTTTTAGTTTATAGAGCCGATAATTCATCGTCCAAGATAATTTTTTGTCGAAATGAGGTAAATATTTATTTCGAAGTTTTAAAGTGAATAAGACCATCTTCCTCAAACTTAAAATGTACCGTTATAAAACTGTTTTCATGTTATCAGGTTTAAATATACCTTATAATTGAAAGAGAATTCCCGAATTATTCTTAAACTGCATAAAATATTTTCTGAGATTCCATACAGTTTTGGGTTTAAAGTAAATTTACGTAAAGGTATGACCTTCCAATGCTGTGTCAACATTTATAATCATTTTCACATTTTAATTGAATTGTTTAGGATTAAAAAAAATCACTTAAGATCTGTGTGTAGATTTCTTACTTATTGACAGAAAATTAAATGTTAGCATATTGCATTCTCTGTTTGATCTGATTGTACTATATATGCTCATATACAAATATAATATGAAAAGTTCGATTGTGAAACATTTTATATCATAATTTCTTGATATTATGATTTGTATTTCCGTATTGTATTCAATGTACTTTTGCTCAATTTTAATGTGAAACTTTTCAAATGAAATGTACATAGTAATTTTTTAGATTATTAAGATTAGTATTTTCGTACTGTACTTTATATGCTCTTATGGAACTATTGTATGTAAGTCTTTGTTAAAATGTTGTACATCAGAATTTTGAGTTTGTTATGATTAATGCTTAATGATGGTTAAAATTTTTTATTTATTTGAATTTTAATTATGTATTCATATTTCTGTGTTAATAATATACATATTGTAAGTAGTTATTGGAATTTGTGTACTTAATCCATGTTTTAATTTCCATGTAACTAAAAAAATTTTGTGTTTAATATGTATTAATTCTCATTTTATATAGTGATGTAATATCCACTGGGGTGTAAGATGGTATTTAAAACATTCTGTTCTCCATGAAATTAGTGCAATGAATAATCCTTTAAACGAATTCAGACCTGAAAGTTTGTGCCTTTTAAAAGAGACTCAAGAAGATTATTGGCGATATGCCAGAAAAGGTCCCCATGACTTCTCAGTATATACAGAAAAATCATCAATTTATGAAACTCCTACAAAAGAAAAATTTCGTGAAGCCACTGATGTTTTAGTAAGATGGACTGATGGATTACTCTACTTAGCAAATATAATACAGGTACGAATCAAATGTTATTCCTTTTCTAATCTCCATTTTTTAACAGTTTATTTGGTTGGTTGATGAATTAGAAGTAAATGCTTTTAATTTCAAAATTTCAATTTTTAAATTTCAGGTTGAAGATGAGTATAGTAGATGTGCTGTGAAATTTGAAGATGGATCTCAGTTTTGGGCTTTATATAAGGACATTTACAAAGGTCAGAAAAATATGTGTTGCATATATGTGATAATTTGTTCAGCAATTATTTTTCTTTAAGTTGATCAATCTTTGCCAAATGATTCCTTTTGAATGTCTTAAGATTACTGTTCGTTAAAAATTATTTAAAAATGTTAACATGCTCTGTATTTTCCATTTCAGTTTTCTTAATATTTTTACAGTTTTGATAATAATAAAATTAAGTTCATTGACAACTGGGTTTAATTAAATCATAGTGGATCTTACATTTAAATTGTATTTACTTTCCTGATTGGTATCGTTTTGAAGGCAGTTTTGTATCAGAAATTTAGATGGAAATTTTTTATATGTAAACCTGCATTTTAACATAATAGACATCTAATTTTATAATCAGAACAAAGAGGTATGTTTTCTCACTTATAATTGAAAAAGGTAACTTTTAACATGCCTGTGCTTATTTAAAGCGTGAGTAATTAAAGTTGTTAAAAGCTGTTCCAGAAACATACGATGTATTGAATTTAAAATTTGAACAGATTATTAGAAATAATGTGTTAGGCAGGAATGCCTGTTAAAAACATTGCAAGTGATACTTAATATCTTAATTTAGTTATCTGTAAAATTCTTATGTATTTAACGTATGGTGGACTTAGATAAGTATTCTTTGCCATAACTTAAGTAACTTTAAAGTTGGAAGGCAGTGACATGTATTGTGTGGTTACTAATTGTAAATAGACTGAGGATGATGGGTATCATTTGCAGTCTGTGTTTGATTAGTGTTATTGCCTACATTTCTTTTCCATTGCTTTTCTGCTGTGATGTTTTTAGGCTATGTAAGGAAGAATCTATGATTTTTTTTTTTTTTTCCCTCTTTTTCAAAGGCAAATAACATGCCAGGCACTGGAAGTGTTTAAAGGAATTCTTTGTCATGTCTTATGAAAAGATTCATGCTAATTAAGTTCTCCAAAGTGTTTTATTCCTGTTGTTAAGTAACAATAGTCTGGGATCAGTTTATCAATTAAATCATTCTAAAATCATGAATTTCCCCTGATTCTTTGAAAAATATATACAGTACAAAGTCTAAAATCTGGGCTAGTTTTTGCCAGATTCTGCGATTTTTCTCAAATTTGCTGTTTTTAATAAACGTGTGACTAAGATTTATGTGTATGCAATTATGCAAAACATATGCTACTCCATCATTTTCTGGTGCTAAGTTTGGTAACTTAAAATTTTTTTAATGTATCACAGAATGTTTATATGTTCAAAAATATATCTACTAAAATAATTTGTAATAAATAAATAACAAAAAATAATTTATTTATGCTTAAGTAAAAGTTAGCATGTGGCGTTCTGATGTCATAGAGTGGGTACAAAAATTTTCAGTGCCAGTAGCTGGTGTTTTTACATGTTTGATTGGTTGCTTTGCTTTAAAGTTTGCCAGTAAGCAATGCAGCTGTAGAAAGGCTGTTTTCCAGAGTCACTTCTACTAAAACCAAACACTGAAAGGGAATGTGTTTGGAACTTCTAGATTCCATACTTTGAATGAAGATGTCATTGTAAGAAAAAAGAAATCTGCTGTGTGAGCCCTTGCTGTCGATGTGGACATATAGCTCAAATATTTATAAAAAGAAATAAGGGATGAACAGGGAAAGGAATCTAGAAAATGAACAGGGTGATGAAGAGTTATTAAATTCAGATTTCTTTTAAATAACTATAAAATAGAAAATGCCCATTTATATATATTTTCCCCCCTTTTTAAGCATTAGGAAATCAATCAAGTATAATATTATGGATAATATGTTCTGTAATATATTTTAGTTTAGGACTACTCAATTTATTTTAAAATGAAGGAACATTTTATTACAATTAATTATACGAATCAAGCAAAACGGAATAATCTGCTGTAAAAAATTTATTTTTCAATGAATTTTTTGTATTTATCAGAATGTAAATTAACATTAGCTGTATAAAACGTTTACCTCCACAGCAAATCAAAATTGTCTAGAATCACGAGTCTTAAGAGAATGTTTTTAGAGTGTTTAATGTATTTGCTGTATAATATATTTTATTTCTAGTGTTAGATTAATTTTAAAATGAAATATTTTTATAATGGATACATAGTGTCTAAGCAAACCAGAGTTGACTCTTTAGAAGTTAAGACATTAATGTCTGTTCATAGTTGGAATAACGTCAATGTATTTTAAAACTTAAAGACATCATTCTTTACCCTTTTTTCTTTCTAAAATTATATAAAAACATTCAATATTAAGTTCAGATGACAATTTTTATTTATTATTTAGCATATACATTAAGAATTTTTTCTCTTTTACATGTTAAAAAGTTCGCCTTAGGTAAGGTGACCAGATTTTAACATTGGTAAAGCGGGACACCATTTACCACGGGAGGGGGAATCTATATTAAAAATTTGATCTGTATGAAGCAATGCAAATTTTCATAGAACGTAAAAATAGTATTGTAATATATTTTTTTAAAATTTCAACATAAGTACAATTTACAAATATAATACATTAAAAGTTATGTATAGTATTAATTTATTCTTTGGCATATTTCTCATTTAAGTGATTTCTTTTAGTAGATTGCTGTTGTTTTTTGTTGAATAACTTTTGGACAATTTCTGTAGATCTGAAGGAGTGATTGTGATTATTAGCATGAAAAGACGTAAGTCCTTCTGCTAATGCTAATTTCATTTCTTCATCTCCATAAATTGTTTTCCGAAAGAATTCCTGCATTTTAGAGGAAAATGCAGTAGTATTTAAGGTTGATCTTTACAATATGGTAACTGGTAGTTTGGCGACATTTTGGAGGCGATAAAGGTTACTACCTGGGACTTTGGTACTCAGTTCCGATTACGCATTATTTTGCGTGAGGGAAATGAGAGATCATGGGATATGTCATGTGATATTAATGGACGAATTACGGTTCTTTAAACGGAAAAGGGGGGAAATCGGGAAAAAATGTGGAAATTTTGTATTTAGCTTTATTCTGTGTTGTGTGAAACAGTGTTGTTTAATTTTTGGATCCCACGGCCCTAACTAAAGTAAATTCGAAATGGGTATTTAGGCATTGTGATAAAGAGAAGTTTGCTTTTTATTTAGCGGAGGAAGTATGGAGGAAAAAATTCACAGAAAAAAAAAATCTTTCAATAATTTTATTGAATGAATTAGAAAAGTGTATCCGCCACGTAATCAAGATTATGAAGAAGATTAGGTAAGTTAGTATTTTTAATTATTTGAGGATATTATTTTTATGCATTGTTCTAAATGTAAGGTGGAAAGGAATTTTGGTATTATTGGGAAAATTGTTTATTAGCAATGATTTAGTTTAAAGTAATTAGGATTGTAAGGTAATTTTTTTATTAATTTATTTATATATTTATTAGTGTTTCTCATTTATTTTTAATAAGTGTTTTTTGAATTTAATTATATTTTAATGAAATGATAGTTTTTTGAATTTTATGTTTGTAGGAATTTGGTATACGTTTTTAGTTGAAGTAAACGTGCATGGAAATAATTTAAATATTTGATACTAAGTATTTGTAATGCTTGCGGTATGAATTCGTTGGTGACGTGTATAATGTAATAGATGATTTAGAGGTAAAAGTTTTTTGGATATTTTATTTATTTTATATGTGGAAATGTTCATATTTGTAAAGGGTAAATACTTTTTCGTGATCAGGTAATTTCATATATGTTCTTTTTACCGGGTTTTAAAGATTGAGAAAATTGTCATGTATTTTGGTGAAATTTTTCTAATTTATGAGAAAAAAAGCAGTGTACATGGATATAGTGAAGAGTGTGCGCAATGCCATTTTTGTGCAATTCTGGGATTTTTTTTTAAGTAAAAATAAGTCGACGTGTACATGGTTTAGTGATATTTTAATTAAATGATAGTTATTTTGTGAATTTTATGTTTGTAGGAATTTGGTATACGTTTAAGTTGAAATAAACGTGCATGTAAATAATTTAAATATTTGATACTAAGTATTTGTAATGCTTGCGGTATGAATTCGTTGGTGACGTGTATAATGTAATAGATGATTTAGAGGTAAAAGTTTTTGGATATTTTTTTTATTTTATATGTGGAAATGTTCATATTTGTAAAGGGTAAATACTTTTTCGCGATCAGGTAATTTCATATATGTTCTTTTTACCGGATTTAAAGATTGAGAAAATTGTCATGTATTTTCGTGAAATTTTTCTAATTTATGAGAAAAAAGCAGTGTACATGGATATAGTGAAGAGTGTGCGCGATGCCATTTTTGTGCAATTCTGGGATGTTTTTTTAAGTAAAAATAAGTCGGTTGTGTACATGGTTTTGTGTATGTGTTATTTTGAAAAACTCGTAAGGAGTATGGTATTGTGCACTTTTTCCCAATTTTGCAGTGAATATTTGTCATGATTAAGCAGTTTTGTTTGATAAAATTTTCTAGCATAAGTGTAATTCGGCTAGTAGATTGTTGGAAGAAGTGTTCAGTAGATAAAAAGAAAAGAAACATGTCTTTACTTCGTGAAGACAAAATGGCGGCGGGGAAAAAAAAATAGAGGGTTGCTGTAGGAGAGTTGGTTGCCAAATTTTCGCCAAAAAATCGCCAAGTTACCATAATGTAAAGATCAACCGTATTTAAATAACTTTTATGTTTCTATGCCTCCAAGTGCTGTGAAATATCATTCTTCCAGCCGGGCGAAATAGAAAATTCACCATTACATTTCTCACATTTAGCACATAATTGCTTTTAGTTTTTTTAACAAAAGGAAATTCACTTCTTAGATCATCTTTGAATTTGCATCTTCTGTTCTTACTCATTGTGTTAAAAATCTAAAGAAGTAATTTTTTATAAATTGTATTATAAATTTTTATCTATATATATTGCTTAAAAAACACAGTAAATAGGTACATAGTTACATGAACAAATTTTATTCATAGTTTAAAAATTAAATTAATTTTTTTGTTATAAAGTAACTATATTTTCAAAATTATTTTAATATTAATCCTATATTTTTTCTA